TCTCTCTCTCTCTCTCTCTCTCTCTCTCTCTCTCTCTCTCTCTCTCTCTCTCTCTCTCTCTCTCTTTCTCGCGCCGTTATCGCTCTTCCTCGCGAGAACTTCTTTTCGCACAGCTCCTCTCTCCCTCCCTCTTCCTCCCTCTTCCTCTCTCTTTCTCTCTCTCTCTCTTTCCTCTCTTTCTCTCTCGTACTCGCACGCGTTTTTCTCGGGAGTGAAGGGGCGAGACCCGGGGGCGGCGGTTAGTAAATATGATACCGGAATCGGATACAAGGAAACCATTAATCATTCGAGCACGCGCGAACGGGATCCACACCGCGAGCGAGTGCTCGCCGCCGCCGCTTAGTGGAAGATTTTTACGGGGTTATCTGGCCGGGCAATAAAGAAGAAAAAGAGAGAGGAAGAGAGACCAATAGATATATAGACAGATAGAGAAAGAAGAGGGAGAAAGAGAGTTGCTACAAAGCGTGCGGCGAAATCCGCGGGAGCCCGTCCAAGATCCACGAGGGAAGCGCGATCTTCTGGCCGAATGAGCCGATGGATCTTCCAAGAACGCCGTCATCACAGGACCGACCCCCAGCAGCACCTAGCAGTACGATCTAATCTTCTCTTGGATGGGCCTCTCTAACCTAGTCGATCGAATCGCGAATCTCGTACTCCTCAGAGCCTCGGGAGATCGATCGCCAGCATTCGCGGATAGCCAGCTACGTCGGAGCTCGCTATGGGTTTACCTTCGCGAAAATCACCGATACTCACTGTTGTTGTCTCAAGAGTCGGGGTAGTTCCTCTTTCTCTCTCTCTCTCTCTCTCTCTTTCTCTGTCTGTGTGTCAAGATCAAGCGTGTCAAAGAGACCGCCGAAAGCGTGAGTTCCTCGTTCTCGATCCTTGAATCTCGAGCTGTCACTCCACAGTTGTCGATCGTTCGCGAGCTGGTATTAATGTACAGCACGCAGGCGGGTCGGCAAAATAGGAGTGCGAAGGAGAGACCGGTCCGTCTTTATATACACGTCCGATTCGCCGGTGTGATTATAGTGATACTTGAGTAATCGCCGAGCAAGAGGAAGAGAGAGAACGACAGACAGACAGATAGAGATAGATGCACTCTTGTGTGCCGCCGGTGCGATACTTTCTTCCTTTCTCCCTCTTTCTGCGCTCTCCTACTTTCTCCTCCGTTTGCTTGTGTTTTTGCTTTTTGCACACTTCGCGATCACTTGGGTTTTGCAACTATCGATTCTCGGCGGCGAGGCCGCGTGTCTTATAAACTCGCACGTCCCCACCCCCAATCGTGCTTCTGCTCCTCCGCGGAGAACGTCCGCGGCGAGCCCCGTTCTCGTCGGTGAACGTTAGCCAGCTTGGCTCCAGACTATCTCCGCCTCTTTTTCACTCGCTTCGTCTTTATCTCGCCACCTCTGTTCCTTCGCCCGCCGCCACTCGCCTCTTTTGCGACCGGTCCAGTGAACGTTATCATTTGCTTTCCCTCTCCCTCATTATCCCTCCTTCCCCCCCCCTCTCTCTCTCTCTCTCTCTCTCTCTCTCTCTGTCAATCTCGCAGCCGCTCGTCGCGGAGCTGAATGATCGCGTTTTTTGCAACTCAGCCAATTACGATAGATATTACGATGTCGCGATATCGCAACGATATTAC